ATTAGCAAGCCTTTCTCAGCTGCCTTCCCTCCTCCAGCCCAGCTCACCCCCAACCCCTCACCATACTCCCTGAACTGCCTAAGAACCAAACCCTTTAGCTTGGAATCCTATTGGGAGGGATCTACTTCTGGGGGCACACGAGCTCTCATTGGAGTGATGATGTGTCTTCCTTCAAATGTTCATTATCTCTTACAGTCCCTGTCACTTTCCTTGTGGTTGCTTGTTGCTGATGTGTTTATTCTACACAGAGATGTCTGGTCTCAGGCTGACAGGCGCAGACTGCATCCATGCTCCTCAGACCCTTGCTCTTTAAGCCCTTAGGCAGGCCACTCCTGTCTTAGTTGGGAGTTAAAGGAGCCTCTTGCCGCAGCCTTTTCCCTGCCTTTACTTCAGTCTGGCCATACTCTCTGGAGGCCCAAGAGGCTCACTGGGGGTCACCCGGGGCTCAGGAGATGCATCTTTTCTTACAGTGCCGGGCCATTAGCAACTTCCCACTTCCATTTAGTTGTCTCACATGGAAATATTTGGCAATATGGGTGACAAAATACAGTCACTAATAACCCCTGGCACTGCTGAGGGCTTGGCAGTATGGACAGTCGTGGAGCTTGCCCGAAGGCAAGCTGTGTGTAGGAGAGTTCCAGGGTGGAGAGACTTCAGTAGGACACTGACATGGGATTATGGTGTGGGACTGTCAACCTGTTTGAGTTAAACAATGCCTCTGGAATTCCTTTGAGAATCTCTCAGGAGTTTTTTTCAGAGAGAATTTACCCAGTGGGAAGAAACCCACCTTAAATGTGGTGACACCACGCCACAGGCTGGAGCTGTGAAACTGAATAAAAAGGGGAAATGGAGAAAGTCAGCTGAGGTCCAGCATTCTTCTCTGTTTCTAGTTTGTTGAAGATGTCAGGAGAGAGTCCTGCCTGCTCCCGCCCCGCCCCCTTGTCCCCGCCCCGCCCCCGCTGTTGCCCTGCCCCTGCTGCTGCCCCGCCCCTTCCCAACCTGACTGACTACAGCTCCAAACCCTGAGCCCAGCTAGATCTCCCTCTCTCAGATTGCTTTTTGTCAGGTTATTTGTCCAGACATGTAGGAGAAAGCCTGAGGTCAGGTGTAGATTTCCTTAAAATCATGTGTCAATATTGGCTCACAGCTGTTGCAAGCACACTCCCGCAAAGCAACAGTTAATGAGGGAGGGTTAGGAACCTGAGGGAGAAAGGGGACAAGGAACTTCATTTTTCTGTCAACCTGAAACCACTTAAAACATAGTCTGTTTCCTGGGTGTGGTGGTGCCTGTAATCCCAACATTAGAAGCGGAAGCAGGAAGATTGTGAGGTCAAGGCTATCCTGCACTACTCTGGGAGATCCTGTCTCAAAAAAAAAGTCTAAAGAAACAATTAGCCAGTGTGGTGACACACACATTTAATCCCAGTACTCAGGAGGCAGAGGCAGGTAGATCTCTGAGTTTGAGGCCAGTCTGGTCCACAGAGTGAGTTCCAGGACAGCCAGGGCTACAGAAAGGAAGGAAGGAAGGAAGGAAGGAAGGAAGGAAGGAAGGAAGGAAGAAAGAGCGAACAATAAGAATGAAGGAGTGCATAGCCTTACAGGTTTGTGCAGAGATGTCAGTTGTGGGGTTCATCCCCAGGGAAGTGGGCGGTGCTGAGCTAGAGAGAAGCCACACTTACAGATCACAGAGGAGAAACCAGGGTCAGGTGGTGGCACTTAAGAGAATCAGAGTGCGGAGCTGAAAAGATAGCGCAGTGACTAAGAATGCTTGCTTCTTTTTCCAGAGGACCTGAGTTGAATTCCCTGCACCCACACCCGATGGTTCATCACTGCCTGTAATTCTAGTTTCAGGGGACCTGATGGCCTTTTCTCTCTGTCTCTGTCTCTCTCTCGTGTTACGTGGGTGAGTGCAGGCACGTGGGGACCATGGTGTGATGTGACAATCAGAGGACAACCTTGGGTGTCGGTTCTTGACTACCATGGTGTGATGTGACAATCAGAGGACAACCTTGGGTGTCGGTTCTTGACTACCATGGTGTGATGTGACAATCAGAGGACAACCTTGGGTGTCGGTTCTTGACTTCCACCATGCTTGAGACAGGACCTCGTGGCCTCCACAGCACATGTCAGCCCAGCTGGCCCTCTGCAGTTTCCTGTTCCCACCTCCCACCTCCCTGCAAGAGTGTGGGGTTGGTTCCAGTGCGCACCTGCAGGGGAATCACACTCAGTCTCAGTGCCGTGAGTGCATTCTCCACTGCGCAGTCTCCCAACATGCCCTTGTCCTGTGATTCGATGTCTTCTTTCTGTCTGGTTTCAGATGCTTCAAAAGAAGGGCCTGGCAGGGGCTGTGGACACTGTTAGATTGGACTGGGTTGCTGGAGGCTGACGTCCTGAAGGATGTTTCTTTCCTAGCAGTGTCAGCGTGTTCTAAGGGTAAAGAACCAACTTCAGGGGGATGACCTGGGTTGGAATCCCCGTAACTGCCACTGTAGCAAAGGTACCGAACATCAGGGACCCACTGTGAGCTGAACTTGGGTGGTCACCTGACCTCAGTCAGTCCAGTTCCCACTGGTGGCTCCCTGGGCTTAGTGTCAGCTCAGAGCCCAGGCCCAGTGACCTCCTTACGGCTCAATGGCCTCCTCTGCCCAGTGTGTAGCTACCCTGAATGAAGACTGGAGTTGATTCTGGAGAAAGAGCGCGCATACAGGTAAGGTTCCTGACCTTCCCCTCGGTCATGGGTTCTGAGGCAGGACAGAAAGACAGAGACGATTAAGTGGGCACAGGAAGGGGAAGGAATCCCATTGAAGCCTTCACCAGTTGAAAATAAGAATTCTACCACAATTAGCACTGTTGTAAAGTTTGCCCACATGGAAATGATATTCCTTATATATAAAGAGATTTTCAAATAGTAGTGTTAAAATAGCAATAAGCCTTGCTTGTCTGACCTTCAAGTGTGGCCTTTCTCCTTTCCCAAGGTTTTCCTGGGAATCTCACAAACAAGACTGAACCTGCATTTACAGCGACAGAATCCATCTTGTCTTTTCCCTGTGACCTTAGCTTACCTTATCAGTAGAGGCACCATACAATGCACCCAGAAGCCATCCTGTGATCTCATTTACCAAAAAGAAAAGGTTCTTCAGCCGGCAGTTGAGATGAAACTTGAGAATCCGCCAAAGCAGAATGCATGGCCACTTGGGAGACAGTTAGCCCTCACTGTCCTTTGAGAAGCCCACACCCACACTCTCAGGTACGCCTTACTGCTTCCCCAACTTGCCTTCTAGCAACCCGTGGTTAAATCTGTCAAGGATGCCTTAATACACTCCAACTCTGCTTCGTAGTGGCTGCCCCTGAAATTCCTTTCTGCAGTAGGTAAAGGGGGAAGGAAACTTCTCAGGCTGCTGCCCAGGCAGCGAGTAGCTGTCTCCCACTGGTGTCCTGCCATTGCTCTGCAGTCTGGAGCAGCTGAGGGGACACAAGTTTATGTTTCTGTGACTCAAGCGAGATTTATCCTGATTTGTTCAAGTTCAAGCTAAATTCCTTCTTAAACTTGTCAGGGAAGCCTCCAGTCTGCTTCATTTCTAAGCACATGGGTCATGGTGGGTGTCACAGACCCACGTGAACCAGACCCGACCCACCATCCGACTGTGGCTTTGACTCCACAGCCCACGAAGCCACTCAAGCCCAGTCACCTTTGGCCACTAAGTGCTGCCATCACGCTCCAGCCACTGCCGTGGACCCAGCATGTCCAAGTCCCTCTATACCTCAGACTCCCTCTCTGTATGATGCTGCTCACTGTAGGGTTGCCTCAGAAGAGACAGTGTCACTGTAGGACAGTCACAGGCAGAAGAGGCTCTAGTGTGGAGACTGGAACGATTCCTGCTGGGGAGGGATGATTCTCTGGAGCAGACGCACTTGCTCACCCGGTAAGTTTTCCTAAGCACCTGTTATGAGACATCCTTGGGACGGTGCTTGCCGTGCAAGCATGGAGATCGAAGCTTGTTCCCTAGCAACCTCACAAAAGGGTCATGGCAGTGAGCACCTGTAAATCCAGCAAAGGGGGTTCAGACCAGGTCCTGGGGGCTCGCTGACCAGCCAGTTAGGGAACCCAGGAGCTCTAATTTCAGAAGATACCCCGTCCCAACTCCAACCCAACCCAACCCAACCAACCAGAGTCACCAAGAAGGCTCAGCTGGGGACTGGAGAGGTGACTCAGCGATTCTGGAGGACCAGCACCCACTCGACGGCTCATACCTGTCTGTAATTCCAATTCCACGTCTTCCACACAGACACACATGCAGGAAAAACACCAATGATCATAAAATTAAAAAAAGTGGAAGGCTCACCTGGTAGAAGGGACCACACAGGCCTGAGGAGCTGAGTCCATCCGAGGATCCCCAAAGAACTGACTTCCAAAAGTTGTCTTCTGACCCACCCCATCCCACCAACAAATAAGCAAAATTAGGGTAAATCTGAAGCCAGCCTGGTCTACACAGTGAGTCCCTGTCTCCGGAAAAACTAGCAAACAAACACTACAAATAAAAAAAGCAACTAAATGAGAAAAAGACGGAAAATAACGGGAAGGTATTTGTTGACCTCCAGTCTTTCTGTATCCCTCCTCCTCAGTGTTGGCTGACAGACCCTGCTCTTTCTCTCAGAACATGCTCTTCAGAGTTCTCCTTGTAATGACAAGCCCCAAATCACTCCAGATACAAATAGAGCCAACCACCAGAGTGACTGTGCTGTCCAGCCTCTCCCAGCCTCTCCGGGAGCCCCCCTTTACTTTCCTTCCTAGGACACCGGTTGTGAGTTGGCTGGAGACAGAGCTTTGCCTCAATTGGACACCCAGTGGGTACCCGCTCTAGTGGGCCCCTAGTCCTGACCGGTCTACACGCAGTGCCCATTATGGCCAGCAGAGGGCGGTGGTGAACCAGCAGAGCTGCACAGAGCTGCCCGGCGCGGACCCAGAGCCTGAGTGCAGAAGCCCCACTGCCACCGCGAGGCCGCTTGCAGCGGGAGGCGCCTGCTTCCTTCCTCGTCTCTGATAGCAGGCACCAAAACCCCCCACCTGAAGCCATGGCCAGCCCCCCAGGCAGCCCTGAAGATGCAGGCAAGCTGCGAGGAGGCAGGGAGGGCCGGCAGAGAAGGGAGGACGATGCTCCGGAGCAGAAGAGGTTGAGGCTGGGGCAGCGAGTGGGAAGCGAGCCCCAGGACGGAGACACCGCACCGCTTCCAACCCGGGACGGGCTCGCCTCCCACACAGGTGGTGAAGGCAGAAGTGTAAGTAATCTTGGGGCAGCTGGGACGTGGGTCACGGCTGTGGTGGTCCAGGGATGTTTGACCATCGTCTGGTGAAGTTGGTAACTGGGCAGCAACTCCTGCAGGCGCATTGTGCTGCTTGCTTGGAGGGACCGCCCCGGGATCTGGATTCTTGGTGGCAAGAACTGTGTTTATGTGCTGTTGACTGCCTAATAAGCCCACGAGGTGTGACTGGTGGGGAGCAGACCCAGCTGGACTATGTGGCTTACCTAAAGGAGGGAAGGGGTATCCTGGAGGGCCCCCAGAAGGAGAAGGATGTGGGGTTGCCTTGAGCAGCCCTGAGCAGGTACCCACATTGTGACCAGGGCTGTCGGGATATCTCTTTGGGACTTCGATGTTTGTGCAAAACTGTCCCTTAGGGGAGGGTCTCAGGTGGGGACATAAGCATCACCAGGCTCACCAAGCTCTGCGGTACTCAGCCTGGGACTGCAGTCAGTGTGCACGAGTCACCAGCCCGGCGCCTTCCTGCTCTCTTGTCCCTTCTAAGTCTTCTGGGGAGTATGGACAAGAGGCACATGGCTTCCACCCCAGTTCCCACAGACCCTCAGAAGGGGACAGACAGGCAAAGTTCTTGGGTTCCCCTTGGTACTTCTACTAGGCTCTGTCCCTACCAGCCAAGGGTGCCTCTGTGGTATGTTGCTTCTGGGGGCACAAATGAGATGGAGACCACTTGGCCTCCCTCTCTGGACTCTCCCAGCTGAGATCCGGCAGACTGTGTGCTACATACCTGGAGGCTGATGAGGGCTGCTGTCCTTGGAGAGGTTGCCACTTTGACGGCTTTTTAATGGTTAGCGGACTTGAACTCTTCGGTCCCCGACATGTTTGCTTGGCTGAGCTTGTCATATCAATTTGATGAGTTGCTGGTGAGCCCCTCTAGGGAGCGGTCCCTTTCTCCTGAGTCATTTGGGTGGCAGCTGGCCACATTGGAGCTCAGTGGCTCTGGCATGGGCTTACTCTTAGGAACTTCGAAGCTTCGTATCAATGCTCACAACTCTCCATGGATGCTACTGCATTCTGAAGAGGGCCACAAACGCATGGGAGCCAGGTGACTGGCTTCTGAGATCCCAGGGGAAGACAGTACTTATGGAAGGTTTTCTGGGCCACATGGTGGAAAGGCCTAGAAGGGAGTGTGAGGAAATGCCTGGTCCCAAGCACAGTGACTGTGTAGTGTCATGAAACTTCTGTGGCTGGGAGAGTCCATTCCCTACCTTCCTTCACCTCTTGCTTTGGCATGAAACTCTGCTTAAGACCAGGAATCCAGAATCAATGGAAGTGACCCAGGGCAGTGGAGTGCTGAGTTTTCCAGTCTGAGTGCACATTCTGCCTGACCTTAGCTGGGTGTCCTTGGGCAAATCACTTAACCTCTCTGACTGTAGCGTCTTTGTGGATAAAACAAATGTGTCAATAGGCCCAGCTTCGTGGGCTTGTTATTCCTGAGGCTAAGCAAGGCTTCTCTGGAAGATGCGCTTTGTGTGGTTTCATGTACTCAATGATGTGATTTATCGACAAAATTCACCCCAAGGAACTAGCTCTAGGTGGGGTGTCAGCATGTCCCGATGAGTGTTTTCTGGAGGTTAAGAGATTGTGGAATTTACAAGGACAGAGAACCTGCCGAGTCTTTAGTATAGGGTGTGGGTGCAGGAGACCCCATGGTATGGGTTTGAAGGAACGAATATGCAGGAACTAGACAGAAACGATCCCTCTCAAGCCCAGTCATAACCCTCCTTTTCAGGGGTTCTGTAGCCCCCCTATGTTCATATTTCTGCTTTCCAGATTAAACATTGCCCAGAGCCCAGGGCTGCCTGTAACACCTGCCAAATTCCTCTTCCTTGCTGGTGTCATCTAATCATCCAGGAGTGTTTCCAGGCTGGTGTGTGTGTGTGTGTGTGTGTGTGTGTGTGTGTGTGTGTGTGTAGGCACAGAGAATGGGAAGCAGGGGGTGAAGGGGTGGCAAAGAGAGATGTCCCTCCCGTGGGTGGGGCAGAATCTCTGTTTCCACCCATGGGCTCTGGGAGGATGGGTCAAGCAGAGAGCAGCCCCCCTTCCGTGAGTTTTGTCTTTAGTGACCATTAGCTTGTTGAAAGTGTCACAAACCTTCTTGTTCCTTAGTGACAGGTCACTGTGGACTCTTCTCTGCAAAGCTGCTGGACCACCAGGCTACATCCAGACATGTTTTTTTTAAGGGATAAAATATCCCTTCTCATCCCTGCTCCTGGTGATCTGAGGCTTCCCTATGACTGGCTGTCCCTCTGGGTGGATTCCTGGCTGTGCTCTTGTCTTTGGGGCAGGAGATTGGCTGGTTGCTAAAGAAGGCTTTTAGGTGACACACCAGAATTCCAGGACCCCCTGAGTGTGGCATCTTGTTGGGGTGCTAGGGAGGACTTCTTATCTCTCCTTTTTCTCATTTTATCACTCTTCTTCCATTTATTGTAAACAGTATTTCTTATATTCTTATTTTAAATTTAGCAATACAGTATTGAGTTCATTATGGCATTTTCACACACACACATGCACAGACACACACACATGTGTGCACACCCATGCACACTCACATACCCACACACCCACAAGTGCACACACATACATGCACATGCACGCTTGTGTACACACAAGCACACCCACACACACTTGTGCATACACAAGCAGGCATTTAAATCTCCTTTCCTCTTCTTTCCCACCCTCCCTCAGTTTACCCTGTCCCTGTCAGTCTGTCTTTACTGCCTTCTGTTGCCCACCACCCTGTTTCTTCTCATCTCTTTCCTCCTCTCCTGGGCACTTCCTAGTTTTATGACCTATCCCCACACCTCTCCCACATATGTACATAAATAACTACTAAAATCTAGACTCCATGTAAACCAGCCCCAGAAAGAAAAATACTGCTGACTGCCTCATGGGGTCAGAAGTCTCTTAGCTTCTTTCTCTTCTTAGTTTCTCTAACCCTGGGGAGGAATTCCAGTGTGAGTGGCAGCCCATGGCTCTTCCTGCAGGGGAGAAAAACCTCTCCAGGGAATTGCCTACTTGCTTCAACTTCACCAGTCAGTTGGGATGAGTGGTACTGGGTGACCTGGTTGTTGCTGGGTGGAGCTGAATTCTCAGTGAGCCCCCCATCCCTAATCCCGCAAATCCCTGATGGACCTGCGGAGCCATCCCTCCTGGAGCTGGGATGAGAATAGGAAGGCCATTGACAGCAGGGGTGCTGGTAGAGGAGCATCAATACTGTGGGCTCTCTCTCTCTCTCTCTCTCTCTCTCTCTCTCTCTCTCTCTCTCTCTCTCTCTCTCTCTCTCTCTCTCTCTCTCATCTTGACACAAGCTACAATTACCTGGGAAGAGGAACTTCAATCAAGAAAGTGTCTCCATAAGTAGGATGGAGTGTAGTGTAGGATATTGTTGTGATTAGATTGATGTGGGAGGCCCAGCCCATTGTGGGTGGGGCTCTCCCTGGGCAGGTGGTCTTGTGTTGTAAAGGAAAGGAGCCCGAGCAAGCCATGGGGAGCATGACAGTAAGCAGTGTTCCTTCACGGTCTCTGATTCACTCCTGCCTTGAGCTCCTGCTTTGGTTTCTTTTGGTGATGGATTTTGACTTTCCATTTGTGTGCAAAACAAACCCTTTCGTCCCCAAGTTCCTTTTGGTCATGGTGTTTTATCATGGCAGTGAAATCCTAACTAAGACACCGTCTTTGCTGGTGATGGGCCACTCGGGCTCCTTCAGGCTCAGCACTGTTTGCTTTGCGGAGTGGGTCCAGGTTGTTCTTAGTGAAGGTGTCAGGGCTGCCCTGAGCTGCTGGGTGAGCAGTGTTGGAACTGACCTCTGCCCAGGCGATAGCCAGAATGTCTCTAGACCTTGTCAGTGGCCTGCTAGGGAGGCAAGGTGGTCGAAGACTGCTGGTCTACTTTTACTTCTTTATGTGCATGTGAGCACACACTTGTATTTGCACATATTTCCTGAGGTTAATCTAGAGTGTCGCTCATCTGTTGCTATCCACTGTGGCGCCCGCACCACAAGCAACTCTGAGGTATCAGGAAAAGAAAGACCAGACGTCCACTTGTTTGTACTAAGAGCATGCATGTGCTGCCTTTATTGCCAGGAGAATGTGTGTGTGTGTGTGTGTGTGTGTGTCTTCATTGCAAGTGCTAAGAGGTCTCTGTCTTGTAGGAGGGAGGAACTTTTATATACAAGTTTACAGCACAGTGGAAAAACCCCAGGTAGGAGAGAGCGTGTTTTCCTCTTGGTGAATGTTGATGTAAGAGGTTCAAGGCCAGGGCAGTAAGCCAGGACTAGAAAACAGGAAACACTTTTTTTTGACACTGGGGCTGTTACTGCTCTAGGTTGACTGACCTCCAAGCCCCAGGGATACAGTTGTCTTTGCCTCCCCAGTGCTGGGACTGTAAGCCCACCACCATGTTCAGCTCTCTCTTTCTCTAAAAATTTTGTTTGTTTTATGTGTATGAACGTTTTGTCTGCATGTATGTCTGTGTGTCACATGCATGTCTGGTGCCCATGGAAGCCAGAGGAGGGCATCAGATACCCTAGGACTGGAGTAACAGCTACTTGTGAGCTGCCATGCGCTTGCTGGAACTTGATCCTGGGACCTCTGGAAGAGCAGCCAGTGCTCTTAACTGCTGAGCCTTCTCTCCACCACCCCTTGACATTGGTTTGACATTCAACTCAGGCCCAAGGTGAGCACATAGATGACTGAGCTATTGCTTCAGCCTGTGTTGTCTATTTTGTTTTTGCTATACTGGGGGGTGTAACTCAGAATTTCACCCATGTGTTAGTTACTTTTCTGTTGCTGTGATAAAACACCATGACCTAGGCAACTTACAGAAGGAAGGGTTCATTGGACCTTACAGTTCCAGAAAGACGAGAGTTCATGGTGGCAGAGTGGAGGCATGATGGCTGGGGCTGAAAGCTGAGAGTTTACATTTGAAACCTCAAGTGCAGAGAGAGAGAGAGAGAGAG